TAGAAGAAATAAAATATGTACTTTCTGGGCCGGGGATTTAGCTCAGTGGTTCCGGAGTCTGGTGCGCAAGCACAAGGTTCTGAGTTTGATCCCCGCTACCAATAAAAAAGGTGGTTTTTGTTTTTTGTACCAGGGATAGAACTCAGGTGCCAGGCAGGTGCTATGCCACTGAACTACATCCCTGGCCCAGGATACAAAGTTTTACTAATATAATGCAATAGTTTCATTTTATGGATTGCATTTTACTTTACAGTTTTATTTAACAAAGAGCTAAAGGAATTCAGTAGCTGTATTTGCTCAAATTTTATTGCTGTTTACAATTTAAGCTGAATGAAGCTGGGTGTGGTGGTACAAGCCTATAATCTCAGCACTCTGGCTGGGAGGTAGGAGCTAGGCTGGGGTTAGGAACATTACTGCAAGTTCTGGGCTAACTGGGCTAAATAATGAGTTCAAGCCCAGCCTGAACTGCACAGTGAGACCCTTAAGGGAACTACCCTATTGTTAAATCATAAATACTGTGTGTCTACTGGAGGTGTAGAAAACTAAAGAAAAGTTTGCTACCATAGCCCAGATACGTAGTGACAAATGTACGCTAGAGATCTTGTGGAGGCAAATGTGAATTGTGGGGTAGTTTGTAGAGAAGAAGAATCCACTCTGAGCAGTTGACAGATTTCAAACATAGCATCAGTTTTATAAGTGAAATATTGGTATGATAGTGCTTGTGTCCAAAATGATTAGGAAAATAGATACCAATTATTGGCTTTGTTATTGCTGTATGTGTTGATTTAGGCCTGAATCAGAAGATGAAGAAACCTGGATTGAGTGGTATCAATCCTGGGAAAACTTGATTTAGCCATAGAACTAGCCTTGTTAGAGATAGAAATAAAAAAATAAGTATCCAAAGAATAATGACAACTTACACTTTGATGATCATTAAAGTATGGCAAAAATACTACCAAATGAATGAGACACTATGATAATAGGTTTTAGGAAACAATAATCAGTAGTAACAATAGATACAAACATTGTGGTTTGGGATTGTGTTTCTGGAAAATTTCTTTTTTCTTTTCTTTTTTTTTTGCACTTTATTAAATTCTTTGTACATTGTAGGTATACAACACAATTACATTTCTCATTGGGAATTGTACCTTTATATAATGCATCTTGGTTCTTATTTTTTCCCCATTC